AACCCGCCCCCTCCTCATCTGGAAAGCGCGGGTCACCCCACTACCCTCTCCTAGCTCCGCTCTCCGCTTCCACCTACTTGCCTGTCCCTCCTTTGGTTCTCTTGTCCTGCCTCCCACCTAATCCGTCTTACTTCCACTTTCTCTATGAGGTTGTAAAGTCAAGCTTGTGCCGTTACTGCGCAGGGGGGCGGGATTTCCCGGCCACCCATCCCCACCCCAAACTCCGCCCCCTCGCCTCCCAGCCCCCGCACTTCTTCCGGAGCAACCTGGGAGTTGTAGTCCAACTTGTGCCTCTAGTCTATTCAACCAAGTACTGTGGGCCGGGAGCTCCCTCACTCGCCGGTGCCTGGTTTGCCCAGAGCGTTGAAGGAGGAAGCGGCTGAGACCTCCGGGCCAAACCGTGGTTCTCAGCACCGACTGACTGTGGAGGCCAGGAGTGCTCCCCAAATTCCCCGCGATGGGAAATGGGAGAGGGATAAGTGAGGCAAAGCCCGAAATGCTGGGAGCCGTCTCTAGGGCGCGAAAATTGTGAAACCCTCTCAGCTCCTAGTTTAGAACTGGAATTTGCGAAACTTTAAAAATGAGATATGAAAGCTGAGTCTAGAATTGCCCCGAGACTGGGCATCCCAACCCCCACCTTTTTATGGCTTGCCCGAGGCTGTTGAAGAACTTTCTGATTCCTCTATAAAAGTAAAGAACTAAATACATTTACCCGATCTTTCTACTGTGCCATATTCTTCTGCCAGTCTAGAGTTGGGGACAGGGTCCAGCGACAACTCGGGCCTCCCTTCAGATCGTGAAGGGCCCTTATTGCTGGCCACGGCCTCTTCTCCTTTTCTCCTCGGGGGTTCAGACTCACTTCAACAAACCTTTATTGGGCATTTTCTTTGTACCATGCACTGGGCTAAAGGCTGGGTGCAGCAACTTCTTGAAAGACCTCCCCAATAAGCTGGTCGCAGTCTAGTCAGGGGATGTCTGCTGGAGTAGAGGTTCAGAAAATGGGGAGGAGCGATATTGCATCTGAAAAGGGGGTCTGGAAAGCTTTTCTGAAAATGCTGAAGATTACACTGGACCTTGAAACGTGGGAAGGATTTACAGGACCTGACATAAAAAACAAACAAACAAAAAAAAAAAAACCACAAAACCCAGTGGGCAAAGTCCAGGGTGGAGGGAGAGGTCTGTGAGAAAGTACAGGACGACCTAAGAAAAAGAACACACCGCCCTGTCAGATGCCCAGGATGTGTGGGCTGTGTGAGCAGCTCGCCTGAATGAACTAAACTCCCCGAAAGGACCAGAAACACCCTATGAAATTTGACCTTGATTCTTTGAGTGAGGAGCCAATCCCCAAAGTAGAAATGCATGAAATTTAAGGTAGGTGCACAAACTCCTAATTGCCAAAAGTAAAATCTTATTTTTCCAGTTCTTTCCCTATTGTGGTTCCATCAGATTTGCTCACACTTGAGGATACATCTAATGATTTTTGAAGTTTATATAAAATGTATATTAATCAGACATTAGGATGTTTGTTTGTTTTGCAAAATGGATCTAAACTTTTGCTATCTATTCTTTCAAAGATATATTTTCAAATATAGTTTATTTTCTGGCTTTACTTTTTTTTGAACACAGCAACTAATGTAATTTAACTCACTAATTATTTGTTGAACATCTATGTAGCAGGCCCTGGTCTAGATACTGAAACTTGGGTGTGGAAGAGGTTCTTGTCATTTGTTCTAGGCACAAGTTTAGAATCATCCTATCTAATAATAGACAAACATGGTAATTGACCGTACCTTCGCTACGCCTCCCATTGGCTAAGCAGCAAGATATGCAAATTAACCACCAACAAAGATGGCGGTTAATTTGCATATGTAGGCGTGAAGTGGCGGAGTGAAGACTGAAGGCAGCTCCGGCCAGAGCAAAGGCCTGGGTGCCGGAGGAAAACTGGTGCCGGCAGCCAGGGGAAGGGAAGGCCTATTGCACGAATCTTTTCATGCAACAGGCCTCTAGATATCAATAAAATGCATCCTTATCAATAAAATAGGTAATACAAAATGAATTTAGACATTGGGGTTGCAAGTACTTACTAGTAAGTAATAAGTAATATATTTTTGTATACAATTTTGTTAAACAAATGGAAAAACGTACTTTGCTTATGAATTCAAACAGACCAACTTAAAAAATTAGAGAACTGAAAATTGTTTTGCAGTGTTCTCTCACACACCATTGTGAATTATCTCACATGACATTGTCATGTAGCCCAGCCTAAAAGCAAAGCATTTAGCATCCCCCAAGATAAAGCAATAATGTTGGTCATATTTTCATTTGTTATTATAATTACACTATCTCTATGTTCTCCTAATTTATTTCATCACAACATCTATACTCATGGGTTTGCTTGACTATAAAAATGCAATTGCACACAAATCATCTATGCTCAGCAAAACATGAAAATTATGCAACGTAATTTTTTCCATATACAAGCTCAACCTGAAGTTAGAGTTACTCTCACACACATCCTCTAGAGTTACTTTCCTTTGAGCTTTTTTATGACAAGAAGAAATTATTTTTGTTCTTTTCAATGCCTCTTCACAGTTTCTTAAGAAAACCCAAGTGTTGTAGAAGGCTGCTGTCAATGACTATGAAAAAGCAGACCATCAGCCTGGATTTTCATTTGGCCAACTTCATAAACATAACTGAAAAAACTAACTTCCTCCAGCCTAAACTGTCAGAAGCCTTGGAATATATAACACCAACCCTTGTGGTGTAGCAGCTGACTGCAGCAGAAGTCCCAGTATCCTGCAGGCAGGAATTGTGAGGAAGCAGTCTTTTGTCCTTTTCACATCTTGACTAGGTATAATACTTACTGTAGGATAAAGGGAAGAGAAAGTGTACTCCCTTGACTATTTTAATTCTGCTGCTCCATTTCTGCACATGCTCCTTATAAGCCCTTCTTATCTATTGACCTCCTTGTTCTTTCCCACCATCTACTTCAACCCCTCAGAAATCTCACCATGGCAAGTGGGCAGAACCACCTCTAAGTCATAGGATGCAGTCCACAGTTTCAAAGGAGGAGAGCACACTGCTTCTGGGTTCAGTCAGTTGGTCAGCAATTCAGGGATCCAGCAGGAAGGGACTGGTAAGAAGGTGTCACTTCCTCCATCTAATACTAAAAAAAGAAAAGAAAAGAAAGTTGAAGCTGTTATATCAGCATCTAAATTAGTGCCATCAGCAAGTTGAAGAAATTCAACTGTCTGCTGAGCTTTCAAACATGCCTCATAAGACTGTCTTTTGCCCATTTGACATTTTTTTTTCTCTCTTTCAAGACTGGCTTTAATGCTTATTTAAGACCAATTTTACCCATATCTCCCTATAGGCCCCCTTCAATTCATTTTTTTACACTGCATCCACTGAAATCTTTGGAAGACAAATCAGATCAAATCACTCCCCTATTTATGATTTCTTAGTAGCTTCTCATTGCGTTAGGATAAGTCCCAAATCTTACTTTGCCATCATCTACATGGCTATGAATTCTCTGACCCAGGCCTTCCTCTCTAATCTCAATGGGCCTATTCTCCCCCTCATTCACCAAGCTCCACCCCACTGGACACCTTTCTTCCCATAAGTTCCTAAAGATCCATCTCCCCTGACAGGTTTTGCACATGTAACCATGGAAAGCTTTCACATGGCCTTTGATATTCATTTTTCAGATCTTAGCTTAAATGTCACTTTGTCAGATGCGATCAGAGCTCCTTGTTATAGTGCTCCAAATAGCTCATATTAATGACATTGAGGGTACTGACAAATGAGGTTAGTAATCATGAAGAACAGCAGAGGTCCAAGGGGATTGTGAATGATCTAATATTGTTTTGCTTTGCAAAAAGGGAAAGTTGATGTATTCTAGTAATCATGATATCAAAGGTAAACAAGGTTCTAGAGAAGACTATTAAAAGGATAGTGTATTGCCCTAGCCAGTTTGCTCAGTGGATAGAGTGTCTGGCGGCAGACTGAAGGGTCCCAGGGTTTGATTCTGGTCAAGGGCGCATACTTTGGTTGCAGGCTTGCCCCCCAGTCAGGGCACCTGCGGGAAGCAACCAATGGATGTGTCTCTCTCACATTGATGTTTCTCTCTCTCTTAGTCTCTCCCTCTCCTTTCCTCTCTCTCTAAAAATCAATGGGAGGATATCTTCGGGTGAGGATT